GTTTTCTCTTGGAAAGGCACATTGAGGTATTGCAGATTGGCAGCCTGCTGAGTCCAGCGAGGTGCAGGGAGTAAATGCTTCATCCACCCAAACCCAGTGGGAATATGTTGGAGCTCCGACATTGTTTTGCTGACACAGGAAGATGTCATCACAGCAGAATATGAAGGAGTTAACACATTATGAAACACAGTTTTGGCAGTGATGCAGACAAATATTGTTTTGTTTGAAATGAAGTACCAGCAGTGTTGGTTAACTAGGTAATGCAGTCACCTGGCCAGTCTCAGTCATTACATTGTCTTTATTTCTTCTAACGTGTTAGGTCCAAATCCTATGAAACAAGCTACTTAACTTTAAGCCCACAGATAGTGCTTTGCTTCAAAGTAAAGCTTAGTTTAATGTATAAGTCTGGATAATGGCAGGTTGAAATAGCAAGCAGAAGTGCTGAAGGAAGTCCGTCTTGCACAGGAAGAGAAATGACAAGGTGCCAGTGTGGTTTTAAGTAAAAAAGAATGAAAATGCAGGTAGTTATTTTTTTAAACCTCTTACCAGTCCTGTTCCTTTGCAGAGTAAGGAGAAGTGAGGAGGGCTGTCCCATGCCTGCTTACACACACTGCTGAGGGCTCGGTGCACAAAATTGTACAACCAATTTCAAAATTACTTTTAGCTAGTCCAGGCACTCCGGCTGTCCTTCCAAAAATAAAAGGCAAAATTTTCAACATCACAGAAGACTAATAAACTATGCGCCTGCATCCACTGAGATCAACAAAAAGTGGAATCCCTTACAACTCAGAAAGTCTAGCCACGTATTTACTGCTGATACCTGACTTTTGTAATCGGGGTTGGAACATTTCAGCTGAAAGGTTTGCATTCAGCACTTTCCTGGGCTGAGAGGCAGATCTTCTATAATCGGGACTCAATTAGCTACGTGCCTTTTCAGCTGAAGATCTGGCCCCGTGGGCCTGATTCCTTACAATACTTTTGCGTAAGCCTGGGAGACGACCCTTCTCACCAGCATTGCTGAAAGTGGACTTCTGTATTCAAGTAGGAAGCTGTTTCTCCCAGATTTTTCACCATGCTTTTGCTCTCATTAAAGTACATGATATAGCTAGCAAGCAAAAGCTATATTCTTCTGCAAGATCCTTGTCCGCAAAAATCCTTTCTGGGCCCTGTATTTTGCGGTGAGTAGCAGTGAGTGCCTTGCTTTGAAAATATGAATCTAAGTCAAAGATTAGTCCACATTTCAAATATTAAAGCAGATTCTCAGATAGTATTTCATTGGAACAAGTAGGGCTAGTCCAGTCTAGAGCAACTGAGGATCTGGGTCTAAAAAAGGAGCTCTGAACTCTAATTAGAGATAAATAAAGAAATAGGGAGCTACTTTTTTCATACCTCCATGCTGTCTTGTCTGTTGATGTCATGACCCCCAAATAGGCAGTAACTGGAATGAAGCCCGCTAGCTAATTTATACTTAACATACCCTTAGTTCTTACTAATTCCTGTGGTATGCTTTAACTTTAAGTACTTACAAAAATGCTTAGGAAAATCATCCATTCCGTGCTTCAGTTCCTCACAAGCATCCCTGCTTCATTGTTTGTTCCTGGATATGTCTGTTAGCATCACTGCTTTGGTAACTTTCCATTTTAGGACAGTATTATAAATGATTGAGATGTGTTAAAATTCACATGACACTGTTCTGTCATTTTCCCTCTATCAAGTAGTATCTTGACATCAAATAGTTCTCCTGAGATCATGCTGAAGTTCCCAAAGTAAGGTGAAACCCTGCACAGAGAAGGCTGGCAGTATTGGCTATTTTAATTTTAAGAATGTACAATAATGTATGTGCATATCTAGGAATATAGAGGGAAAAAATAATCCTATATATTGCACATTAAATTATTATTTTAGTGATGAAGACACAAGGCATACCTTAGCTACCAAATCACCCATTTTTGTGTATTTTATCTTTAAGAGAATTTCTGATACTATCACAAAGCTGGTCTTCGTTCTCTGCCAAAGGGATCTGAAAACACTGGAACTAGTAAAAGTATTTCTGTATATCATACTGGCCTGTTAAATATTTAGCTAATTTAAAAAATAGTAATAATTCCTGTGATTAGCAGCTACAGCATATCATGTCCAGATTCCTTTTTTTTACCGTAAGTGTAGGATTACCTGTGCAAACAAAAGCAGAATTTGGCCTGGGATATAAGCAGAAGCTTATATCTCTCTATTATTTATTTCCTGTTCTTGGGCTGAGTGAAATTGAAATGAAATAAATATTAAAAGACTTTAAAGAAAAAAAAAAACAAAACCACATCCAAGGCAGATTTCATGACAGCAGAACAAGTTTCATTTTGAGTGGCAATGCACTGACAATAACTTTTGGCTTCGGTCCACATCAATCTGGAGGCCCAGCTACACAAGCCAAGCTGGCTCGGGATCACTTCTAAACAGGCAGTTATCACCTTCGGTGCAGTAATATTCCAGAGGTCCAAATCAGGACTAAGCCCTTCGCACAGGTGCGACACTCTCACCCGGCGTAATCCTTCCTCTGCCATTGTCCGTGGCAAAAGTCCCTCCGACTTCTCTGGCGTTAGAAGTCTGGCTGGCCTCCCCAAATGTTCGTGCTCCCTGCCTTTTCCCCTCTTTCCCACTTCATTCTGGTTTTCTGCGTGTTGTGAAATCTTAAGGATTTTAATGCAATTCATCTTTTCCTCTTCCATTTGTCAACCTTTCCTTCCTTTACAGACTTGTTCTGAACCAACCCCTCAAGGACGAGTGGAGGAAACTCCCGTGAGCAATGAGAGGGGTGACGAGCCGGCTCGTCATGTCTTCTCCTTCTCCTGGTTGAACTCACTGAATGAATGATGACTCACTCCGGCTGGCTTCTGGTGTGCTTCTCCTCGGAGGGACCGTGAGCGCAGGCAGCCTGGCTGCAATCAACAAAGAAACTGGCCTGGAAAGGGACATCCGAGGAGGTTTCGTTCCCAGGAACTCAGTTGACCTCCACATCGTACCTGGTTCTTGAGATGACAGAGTCCTAAGCGGGATGGGAGCATGGGGACAAATTGCTATACTGTATCGTAGTCAGAGTGTTTTCCAATAATTTCTTGTTTCCAAGGGGAAAATAGCATCACTACAGCTGTAGGCTGAGCACCGCTAATGTTTTGTTATTCACTTTTTGGCATGTCCTGTGTAGGTGTAAATGCTTCACCAATGTTGTCAGCTAAAATGCTGGTAAGGTATTCACTAGTAGCATCCTTTGCCAACATAGCATTTCTCCTCAGAACCCTCCTGCATCCCAGCTCGTCGGTACTGGTGACTTCAGTGACACTATCGCGCCCTTGGCACCCCCAAGTCAGGGTTGTGCCTAAGCACTTCCCTGCGGCCACTCATAGTCCCCACGGTACCGGTGCCTCCCCGGCTGTGGAGGGGAGAGGGAAACTGCCATTTCTTCCTTTGCACTTGCTCTTCCTGCTAAGCCACAACAGATGACACTCACATAAACAGGTTATTTGTAGGGAAGGTGCCCAGCGGCAGGGATGAGGAAGATGCACACGCCGAAAGCACTGGCCACCCCCTGCGCATGGATGCGAGACACAGCTCTGAGCATGTGGGGCAGATGCTAGAGCGCTGCCTGCGTCTGTCCAGCCATAATCTGTGTCTACGCCTTCTCAGTCATCCATGTGTGTAGGAAAAGGGGCATGTTCTTGCATGAAACCAGGATGTGGTGAGGTGGTCACAGACAACAATTCAAGGTTTAATTTGAAAGCCCCGTGGAGCACTGTAGAAAAGGCAAATGCCAAATGTCCTGCTCCGTGTGCATGGCAGACGTGGAGCCGTCTAATGAAATCAAATTTGTGTCTTAAAAGAAGCTCTGAAGGTGTACCGAAGGTGACACTCCGCAAGTTTTGTCACTGGGGACAGAGTGTCAGCACTCAGTAGTGTTTAAGAGAGATTGGCAGGTTGCCGGGAGTGCTCGGTGCCATGGGGGACCAGATGTCAAGCTCTGCACTAGGGTTAAGCGTGGATCTTTCCAGGAGCCCCGAGTCAGGCCCTAAACACGCTGTTTTGGCAGGGGACTATGCCTGGAGCTGCGCCCCAGCAGGACTGGTGAGCTGGCAGTGCAGACGCAACGCAGCGCCTGGTTAGCAGGCTGTGCGGGGCCAGCCCCAGTCCTGGCCATCCCTCGCTACAGGGCTGAGTCACATCAACCCTCATTTGTACCTGTTTCCCCTGGAAAACGCTACTGCGAGAGAAGTTTTGGAGGGCTGCATAGGTGACATCTGCACAAAGCTTTGAGACTCGGCCCAGAGCAAGCGCCACCCTGCACCGCTACCGCCACCGCATCGCCTCCGGCTGCTGGAGCAGCTTTTCCCTAGAATTTGGTTTGGGGTGAGGGATTTCCTATTTTCTCCCAGTCATCCTGGAGGATTTCTCCCTGTTCCTCCCGGGAAGTTTCTCCACATGCACCGCCACCTCCCCAGCGCCCCCGGGAGGGACCCGGCTTGGGCACCGCCGCCGGGACGGGGGGAGCCAAAGCGGGATGGCACCTGCCCTTTTGGGGTGCGGGAGGATGAGCAGAGCTAGAAAGAAAACAGAAAAGAGATGCGGGAGCGCCTCACCGGTTTCCCATCGCTGCGCTCTGGCAGGAGGATGCTGC